CCCTACAGAAGCATCTCAGTGCCTTCTTTCTCTTGCTGTAGTGTGGCAACCTTAAAATTTTTCCAAACGTTGTAGCACGTTTAATTTTGGTTTTGCCTCTGCTGAAACTTTTTAAAGGCTGGAAGACAGAGGAAAATTTAAGATAGGAAAGAGAGCAAATTAAAGCCTTAGGAGAGAAGTATGCCTGGACTTTGCTCAGGCCATCAAGTTTGAAGTCAAAACAAGAAATTACGGGGGAAAAAAGTCTAAATGAAAAGATATTCTTTTGAAAATTGCTTTTTAAAGTGGGCATATTTTCATTATTAATAAAAGCAATTTGGAGGCGTTTCCTATTATTAACACTCTCACACAAGCTGGTACTGTGGAGAGACAGAACAACCACATCCAAGCGATCAGCATCTCTGCTGGCCTTTTGCCGGTAACTCTAAGTCTCAGATTTCCATTACTACATCTTCTCAGCCATGCCTCCCCACAGGGAGGTTCAAAATGAAATAATTTGGAAGAGTTTTTATTTCAGTAAGAGCATCATCAGGGCACTATTAACGAGTGTGGTCTTTGGTATCAGTTTGATTCAGGTTTTGTGCAAATTCCAGTTACCGAGGGCTGTGTTTTACAGAGGCATTAATTGACTGCCCAATTATAAACGCTTTAAGGGGAACCGTGAACTTCGGCGAATTTAAAACGTAGAATTTCTCATCTGGTCAACAGTCAGGAGAAGTCAGTAAAGCCAAAGGGGTAAGGCATGTTTAACAGCATGCCTGTTGTTACCTTTATGTGCCTGATATGCATAAACTGAAGGGCTTCACTGTGACTTCTTGAAGAGACTTTGGGCTGAGTTGTTGCACTTGTTCGCAGACCTACCGTTATCTGTCTTAAGCAGGACCGAACGCCTGTCCAGTAACAATTTGCTCTCTTAATCCGTAGCTGAAATGTGTGTGAACCACTCCGAGAGATTTTTGTGTGATCCCTGAAATAGGAGGCTGGCTCCTAGGGTGGTCCTTCCTCCAGCTGGTGCTCCGTTACTGACGTGGTGCAGCCCATCAGAACGCACTAAAGAAAAGGCAAAGTCTGTTTTGCAGTCTCAGCTAGAAAGAGCTTAACACCTCTAGAACTTTTTCATCACTTCTGAATTTCCATGACTTTTTGTTTGAGCCACAGTTTTTCCTTACGTAGAGGCTTTCATGTCAGAGGATCCCAAAATACTTCTTGTAGGAGTCATGGTGGCTTTTCCCAGTTGTTTCTTCCCAGGAAGCCAAGAAGAGTCTCGTCTACAGTGAACTAGGACTTAGTGGTACAGCCGTAACACCATGAACTACACAGCCATAGCACAGGGCCCTAGGATCGCTTGGATGACAGTGAAAAGCTCGTCTTGAGCTTTCTTTTGTGTCAGAGGGATCACTGTATATATATATTTATATATGTATATTTTAATTGATTACATCTGCCTTTATTTCCTCTCTAGAACTTTTAAAGATGTATTTTTTAAACTTCCACTCTTAACTCTAGGCCTAGGGTTTTTTTTTTTTTTTTGGCGTAGGTATGGAATCAGCCCTTACCTTGAGGCCTCCATACTTAAAAATGTTCTACCTTACTTGCAGCTCACAAGTTTTGATGTTATGCTATCCAGTCCGTGAACTGCTGGCTGAACACTTCAAAATAGTCTCTGAAAGCCCGAGATGACAAGAACTGAGTGAAGCGGGAGTTGAAACACGGCAGTGCTGAGCATTTTTAAATATTCCAGATAACCCAGTCGCTCAAGCAGTAAGCCCTAGGATTGGGACAGCGTGGTTCCAGGAGGAAGCTTTTATAATTTTGCAGGCCGTCTCAAAATTCTCTTTCGGTTCTGGGGCAAGAAAGGCAAACCCTGGCAGTTTAGAGCTCCTCATCGATTACAAATGTAATTGATGTGTTACCAAATCTCCTCTGCGACAGAGCTCTGTGCCTCCCTCGATTCGGCCCATAGGAGGAAATTACTTTGCGAAACCCTTCACTGGTCCATCATTTATCCGTTCGAGCAGGTCAGAAGGCAGCCTTCAAGAAATAACGAGAGCTCTCACCCCTCCTTCCACCCTCTGCTCTTGTTTCTCCGGGTGCTCCCTGACATTCTGGAACCAGAGGTGATAAATAACTGCAAGGTGACTTGCAGGTTGGCCATATTTACAAAGGGATTTTTTTTTCCCGAGGTTAGGTAGCTAGTGATATAAAAAGAAGTCATTTCGAGGTGTTAGCTGCAGGAACATCCCCCTCTCTAGGTTTTTTTCTCCATAGCTGCTGACCGTAAGAAGGGAGTAATTGAAGTATCCAGACTGGATATGGTAGAGCAGGAATAGTTGGCTTTTAGCAGTTGTGCTGGAAGAGCCCGTGGCAGTGCGATTGCTGCAGCTTTTCCTGTGACGAGGTAAGAGGCCGTGGAAATCTTTCTTGTTTCCTTGCACCACGAGGCATGAAATCTGATTAGTCTTGTCCTGTTATAATTGTGATTAACGGCCCTAAAGCTGCCACTGTGTTCCCCAAAGGCCACCTGTATCCATGAGATACCGGGAGTGCGACTGTACTGAAAAGTGAATTTTTTTCCCCATCCCATCAGAAACAGCTACGGCAAGAGTACGGGATGGTTCGGGGCGGGCAGAGCTGATCTGGCTTAAACAGGGAGTGAAATCCTGGGTGCGTAGACACTGATTTCCAGTTAACTTCAAGGTGCCCAAGGAATCACTGAAGTGTACATGTTCCCCATACAGAAAATGATAGGCGCTGCCACTGTATGGAGAGTAAAAGCATCTGTAAACAGCTTTTCTGAATACCTAAAGCATACATGCAAGTTAGAAGGTTAAGTGAGCTGAATCCTATTATATAGATTTATCTCCTCTTTAGCATGACAGTCTTATGTAGAAGGAAAGGATCCCATGTTTCACACATATTAAAATATATGTGCGTCCAGAATACCTAATGAGTTTTGCGTGTGAGTGTCCAGGTTTGATAACTGTAAAGATAACCCTTGCACGTGGGTATGTTCAGCATTTCAGTCTGGAACAATGTCTAGAAAGATGGTCAAATTAGCTAGCATCTGATTGGGGTGCTTGGTGGTAACAGCTGAAGGCGTAGATTATCAAATAATTTAGAAATGAAGGTGAGTGCTAAATTTTTAGTATGATCATTTGGGCAAATTGGGTATTCACTGTGCACATGGCCAACGTCCATCAGTAGGAAATGGCCAGCAGCTTGGAGGTAACACGGGGACCCAACCTTGTAGCCCCTGCCTGGCAAGCCATAATTAAAATGCAATCCTCTCTTCTCTGTGAAAGGCTCCAAATGTTCCTATTTTAGTAGCATACTGTCATTCCTCTGGCATTCCCATTTCCCAGAGAGCAAATTTCCTTTAAATAGGTAGCTCGCTATATGGCCCTTTGGAGGGAATGGCAGTAATGGAAAGGGGAATCCAAGCAACTGAATTTGGGTTGAGGAACGAGGAGGGAAGTTTTACCATTGCCTCGAAGGACAGAAGGCCACAACAGCTGAGCACTGTGGTTAAAAAAGAGAAAAAGCACAAGGGAGGGAAGAGTGAGTCTGCTTCCTCTTGAGTACAGCTTGCTTTCTCTGCTGATTCACATTTCTTTTGAGACCTGCTAATTGCAACATCTCTCAGTACGTTACTTACTGCAGTACTGCTGGGTAGAAATTGTGATAAATGCATAAACTGTGTCTTATTGATTTTTGTTGACATTTTACATGCTTCTTATGCATTCTTAACCTCCATTCAGTAACTGTCACTACGGTACACGCGCCTGGGTAATGAGAGCAAAAGAAGTGAATGAAGCAGTTTCTTGACCGTTATGAGCAGCATTATCCAAGGCTCTGTATGGGGCTTCTTCCCCCTTCCCCTGGTATATCTCTTATTTGTGCTCATCCCCCTTTAGAGTTGCAAGACGAGAAATGAAAACCTTCAGTGTTATGTCCTCTGTTAATAATAATAAGTGAAATGTGTTTTAAGAGAGATTACTTTGAGACTGATGGTAAACTTGGGCCTCTTTAATTTTAGTGCACAGCAGCAATGTGGAATCTAGCCGAGGTACTGTGGCTTATTTACCATTCTCCTACACATTTTGTCTAGAATGCCTTTATAGAAAGCTGTTCGTTACATCATTTTCTTTGACAAAAAATTTGTCTCTGAATAACAGTAGCAGCAACACGTAGCGTATCTAAACGGTAGTAAGACATCAGCAGTTGTTATGTTATCTGAGAAATGTGTGAAGTGTCACGACACTGCCGTGAAGTTTGCATTAAAAAAATTCTGACTTCCAGTTTTATAATGCTGACCTACCAGTCAGAGATATATCAACCAGGTTGATCTCTTAGGTTCCCTTGTATCAAGGGCCTTTACCTTAAGAAGAAAAATACCGCATGATGCAAAAATGCATTGACTTTATTTTCATGACTAGATGTAGTGCTTTTGGGTAATGATCAGGCATTGCTTTCTCTTACTGTTGTTTGATTAAAATGTGAATACAGTCTTGACTTGATAATCTTACCAGGTACACACGGAGCAAAAAAATGAAAAGATATTTTATGCCTCAAATTGATTTACAGAAACCAAACAATCTGTTGCTTGTTGGATTGCAAAATGGTTTGTTTTGCCCATTGGCCACAGGGGCAATAATATTGCATTTTTTATGCCAGAATGTAGCTTTCATGCATTAGCTCTAAAATGACAATATGCTTTAGCCTCTCAGTCCTTAGATTTGCTTCATTTGGAAATCTTTTAAGTAGTAATAATAATAATGTTTTGAGGAAATTGAGTGGAACACTAAATTATTCTCTGAAACCTAAGTTCAAACTGTGCAAGGCTAAGGGAGCTGAAAATCAATGCACTTTTAAAGTCATTAGAGATCACAAGTGAAATAAGTCTGTGTTGCTTTAGCTAAGCTTTTAGTGTGCCATGGTATTATTACAAAATCAGCCCGAATCTGCATTAATTTCACAGTCTTTTTCTTTAAGATGCCCAAGGGTGCATGAAGAATAAAATGTAAATTTTCAGAAGGCAGTGTTTTTATGAGTCGAAAGGGCAGTGAATCACGCACTAAAAAAGTTGACCTGTGCCGTGCCCAGTGTAGGTATGACTGACGATAGTAAAAGAGTGGAAGAATAGCCCGGGCGTTAGCCTGCTGGCTTTTTTTATGATTTAAAAGGCTGAGGAGGGAGAAAAGTGACTTCTCAGTTATGCAGCACACAGCTTGAGAAGTGTTAAAGTTGATGGCAGCTTTCATAGATCAAAGAGTTATCCATGCGCCCAGGACTCAGAGAAGCAAAAAGCCGAAAGATTTTTATTTTGAATATGTTACTTTCTTAAATGTTGAGAGTCCACCTATGTTACTGAATTTTGTCTGAGTCTTTTCGCAGTTAGTTGCAGGGTACGCAGTGGAGTTTTCCTCGTCCTTATTTGTGTGGCTGCTCTTGGTGCATCACTGAGAGTGCAATAAGTGACATTAGGACTTCTTCTTAAATTCTCAGTTCAGTTACCAGTGATGCCAGTCATTTATTTGTTGCCTGCCCACAAGACCTGGCAAGCAACTATTAATGCATGGCCTGAAGAGATTAAACTGTGCAATCCAGACTTTGCATAAAAGACTTATTTCTTTCAAACCCTGTGGCTAAAGAACAAAAACCTAAAAAAAAAAAAAAAGAACAAATTAAAGAGAAAGAAACAACCCTTTCTCCTCACCCATCCCCACCTAATTTTTTTTTTTCTTCCATCTATGGTCAGATTAGCAAGTCAGCACTGTCGATAAATAAACTAGAGAAGTTGTTTATTTTTATGTACTACTGAGAACAGTGTCGTCTTGTGGCCGTTCTCGTAGACTGTGTTGGTTTAACAAGCGTCCAACCCTTTTGTCTTGTTGTTTTTTGTCTTTCCTGCTCCCTGTCCCCTTGTTCCCACAGGCTGTGCGTTTGTCACATTTTCTACAAGGGCAATGGCACAGAATGCAATCAAAGCCATGCACCAGTCTCAGACCATGGAGGTACAGTACTGTATCATTTGCCCTTTCTTTGTTTTCTTTGTGCAAATGATTGCGAATGGTAAAGCCATGCTCTCCTGGACAAGATCAGACGCATGACAATCACAGATTTCAACTTTTTTTTTTGGCCGACCTGCTCGGCCCCTCTCGGGGAAACTTGTTTTTCTCAATTACCGGAAAGCCCGCGATGAGATGGCTGTGCGGTACCCAAACGCTGTTTTCTAGCCTGTTTCCGGTGGCATTCGGCGGCAAATGGAAATACTGTGTCTACCGCTCCTCGGCCGTGCTCAGAGCATACCTGATGAGCAAATTAATATTCACCGCCTCCCCAAAAACCTTAGTTTTCTTTTTAGACAGATTTTTAAGTGTCCTGGGGTGCGCCACTCTGAGAAAAGGCTCGAAGGGATTCAGCCCGGCCGCGCCGAGGTACCAGCGCGCGTGGTTTTCTGCAGCGGGAATCTCTTTTTGAAGTTAATAAAATTTCTCCTTCTTCCTGGAGCCGGTAAAAACGCTAACGCCGGCAGAGCGTCTCAAAGAGGTTGGCCTCGCTGCAGAGCGTCGGGGGGCTTTACCCCTTCCCGGCGGCCTCGCGTTTTATAAAGACGAGCGATGTGTTTTTTGTCATGGTCTTTCAGAATTTTGCCCAAAACACCGCACCAGTATGAAGCCTTTACTTACTCTGGATCTTCTAGCTTATCATTGGAGAGTGCATGTTATAGTGTATTATGTATACTGTATCTTCGTGTAGTGATGATTTCTCTCAGAGGTGGCATTGATGTTATGTGCACTTGTTTCTCTTTTATTTATTTTTTTACACCAGGACCTTTCGATTTTTTTCTCAGTAATTTTTTTTTCTTCTTTTTCTTTTTTTTTTCCTCCCCCTTTTGCAATGCTCTAGTCTCCCAAAGCATGCTGGGCACTAAACAATCATTATTGCGTCATGTCGTTGAGCTGCTTTGTGTAATGAGCCAAGGGGGGAGAAAAAGGGTGGGAGGGCGGAGAGAGGAGAAGGAGGAGGAGGAGGAGGAGGAGGAGGAGGAAAAGACAACCACAGCAACCAAAAAAAAAAAGGGAAAAAAAAAAAGACAGTGCATGAAAATGTCACTAACTGTTTCCTGTGTACTACAAGTAACGGTATCGGCATTGCAAAGCTATTGTCTTGCCAAACATCATGTTTGAATTTGGTTGAGCTTGTTTTATAATCGATGTGTTTTCTTTTCAGTGCAATGCATTTTTAGAGCCCGAGTATACAGTTTTAGATGAGAATCCTCCATTGAGATGAGAATAATTGGAGTTTATCTTTGCTAGCAAGCTGATGTTACACAATATATGCAATCTTGACAGTATATATTGAAAAAACTGCCACTTGGAGTCTTTGAAAGAATACTCTTAGTAATTTGTCTGCCATGCACTGCTCTGTTAATTCAGATCTATATATTTTTCCTAGGTTTGATTCCAAGTAAAAGGAGAATGTTTATTGGTAATACTGTGTTTCACCTATATTTTTTCCACGTGTTTTAATGTATTTTTCTGCCTAGCAAAATGAATTTCACACAGCTCCACCTCAGAAGATCTTAAAGAGAGAATACCTCACAGACCCATTCTCGTTTTGTGCAGTACTCCAAGAGGCTGCATTTTGATTTGATCCTCCCGTTGAATACAGTCCCGTACAACAGTTGCTCTTGGAGCAAAATACTTCTCCAACATCTTTAAAGTCACCACGGGGGAGACTCCCACATTGGCAAGGCAATTCCGAATATTTTGCACTTTGTGCGTCTTCAGGCTGATAAAGCTTAGGCTGAGAGCCCTTTCCACTGAGGGAAACAGTACACCCTCTCCCGCTCCAAAAATGGCACTAATCAGGGTGGAGATACCAAGCCACTGAGATGCTCCTTCTTTATATGGCGGGAGGTACCTCGAGAGAGAGAAGATGGGAGAGATTAAGACAGAAGTCATTCTTTAGGCAAACAATTTTTGCTAGCTCTTCTAGTAAAAAGCTCATTTGAGTTAGCTAGTATTAAATCTGGACAGTCAGCCTGAAATAGTGGTGCTTGGACACTTTCGTTTCATGCTTAATGCACAAAAAAACATTGGGGGGAGGAATATGTATAACGCAGTCAAATTTCAGCTCAGTTACTGCAGACATTTTTTTTTCCTGATTTCAGTATTTTCAGTTCTTTGGCACATATAGTTGGCCAAGATGCGTTTTCAAAGCAGGCTAAGGATGCAGAGCGGTGGGGCTGTTAGTGTTCAGGTGAACACGTGTCTCCGGGAATAATGCATTCTCTTACTACTCTTTGCATCTCACTTTCCAACCTAGTTAAAACAACTGATTTGAAAAACATAATTGCTGCTTTAAGTTTTTGCTCTCCTATCTCATTTCTGTGGGGTTTGTTTTGTTTTGTTTTGTTTTGTTTTTTTAAGGCATTCAAATGCAGCACCAGTAGAAGACACTAATTTGTTATCATGGAGTAAATTTGATGCAACAATAACAACCCTTTTCTCATATAGAGCCACTTGCTACGTATAATTTGAGTCTTCAGAATGTTTGCTCTCTTGAAAATGATGAAGTGATGAAATATAGAGCAGACTCAAAAAATGAATTATAGATTCATAAATTGCAGAGATATTGTTTTTATACAATTTACTGACATTTAAGCATTCATAAATATGATGTCAGCTGTACTGTTGAGTACTGAGCTGCTGAACTGAGAACTGAAATAGCTATATAATATTTCTTCCTTTGAAATTCATTTCTATTTCTTTTGAAATCGACTCGATCCTCACGTATCTCTAGGTAGCAAGGAGGAAGTTCTGATCGCTCTTAGCCCAGCGCTACCAAAGCGCATATTAAATAGAATACAAACTTGGGGGGGGGGGTTATTCGCTAAACTAGAAAAATCTCTCTCAAATCCTCCACCCCATCTCCCTCTTCTTTCTTTTTTTTTTTAAGGGTCTTGTTTTTAATATTAGCATGAAAATCACCGAAGAAAAGCAACTGTACGACAAGCTCACTCCTTCATAATCTTTATTTGATTGTTGGAGTGGTATGTATCTCCCTGCTTCCTCCCTGAAACATTTTTACAGTGAAAAAGTACAAGAAAGGAATTGGAGGTGGAATAATAAATCACAAGTGATGATTTTCTAAGATAATGCAGAAGGAACAGTGTTGATGGGAGATGTTCGTACAGGAGATATTATTGTTATTATTATTATGGTGGTTTATTTCATCCTTTCATCTGTTGATGGTGCACGTTCTTATCATTTGTCCTGGCGTGAGGCTCTGCAGAGGAGCGGTGCACAACTACACTTTGTAGATAATAGAGGACAGGAACTTTTCTGAAGATGCTCGCAGTGCTGTGAGAGCAGCCATGGAAAGAGTTAGGTTAAGTGTAACCCCGCTCCCCATCCCACACTACACTTTCTGGCTTAAATCATCTGTGTTTTTTCTGGATCTGAGTCATCTTTTGTTCCTGCCATTGTTGTCAGATTGAAGTTAGACAAGAAATTAGTGTAACAAAGCATGGCGGGTGGGGGGAAGTTATTCACTGCATCCTATGAAGTTGGAAAGCAGTATGAAACGCTAAAACAGACTGACATCTTCTATGACTCATGAGGTGCTTGCATTAATTTGCAGAACTGAATCATTATGGTATCTTGTTTGCTCCCTGATTTAAGAAAAAAGAAGACTTGAAAGGTTAACATATGAAAACATTTGTTAGCAAAAAATAATAATAGAGCTAGAGCAGCAGAGACATCTTTCATGTTCTTGTGTCTTATTCTCTCAGTGGCTTGGCCCCCAACCTGAAGTCCAAGGGCAATATCCAGCTGACCTTCACAGGTCACGTGATCCATGGCCTCCTCTTCCTTTTTGAGGACCTCTCAGGCAGGGTTGAGGAGGAGGCTGCAGACCAAACCACTTGGTTCTTACATAGGGCTTCCTTATTTCCTGAGGTGTCTTGCAGCCCTCTCATATCATGTAACGAGAGGCTCATAGAAGAACTGCTGGTGGCAGTCAGGAATGGGTAGCTGCCACCAGAGCTGGCGCCTTGGGTCTGCGTCCTGCCTTTTGGTCACATCTCCAGGACGCTTGACACAAAGCGTGCCTGGGAGCGGACCACAGGTGGGTGAACTATCCGAGCAGCAACGCCCTTTCTGGGGAATTGATAATTCCTCCACGGCTTCTTTTTCCTAAGAAGCTGAAAAATCTCCATCCTTGCAGCCCACCATGAAAACTGATTGCTGAGGGAGGGCGAGCGGCCCTCCGGGTGCCCTGGGGTGAGTGTGTGTGGTGTAACGCCTCCGTTTCCCCGTCTGTCCTACCACAGGGCTGCTCTTCGCCAATCGTGGTAAAGTTTGCCGATACCCAAAAGGACAAGGAGCAGCGGCGCTTGCAGCAGCAGTTGGCACAGCAGATGCAGCAGCTCAATACTGCCACGTGGGGAAACCTCACAGGTCTGGGAGGACTCACACCACAATATCTAGCTGTAAGTTCCCTCCAAAGGTGGTGGCTACATGATTCTCTGCTTATTTTAAAAAATGTGGTAAAGCTATAGTGATGTCCTGCAATATAACACTATGTCTCCTGAACATGCGGCGTGTCTTCTTCTAAATAAAGTGACCTGTATGTTCATAGCATGTTCTAAAAATAAATAGAAGGGAATAGAAGCTGAATAAACTTTTCAAGATGTGTCAGTGCAATCCGAGGCACACGTTTAAATTTTAGTCATGCTGAAAAATAAAGTCTGATTCCTTTAATTTTATTCTTCTTTTGACCGTTACATTCCAGTTTTTATAGCTGGGATACAATTTAGGTTCTTCCTTAAAAAGAACCAAGGACAGATAGGCAGCTGAACACTGTACAGGCCATGTCTATATGGTATAGCCTCTAAACCGGGAACGACGATGTGATTCAATCTTCTAATCTTATACGTTTTGATTTGGAAAGAGTCATTTATAATTTTTCAAAAATGCTGTATGACTCTCATATTAAAGCATGATGCTGTCCATGCTAAATACACGTAGTTGGTACTACCTTTTAGAGAACGGGAAGAGGGCAGGGGAAAGTAGTTCGTTTAAAATGGTATTTTCTTTGACCTTTTCATGAGACGAAACACAAGTGCTAGCTCCTGCCCCCAGTGGAGAAATCTGAAATACCCAGCTGCGAGTAGCAAGTCTCGGATTGCCAAGAGTCCCTGGCAGCCCGGCTGCGAGGGGGACCCTGCCTTTTGTGGCCATGGAATCAAATGGTCTCTTTTAACAGCTTTTTTGGTGATTCGGGGAGTACCTGAAGATTCCGAGTTAGAGAAAGACATGTGTCCATAAATGCAGCGTGCATGCCTAAATACATCATCTGTATGCGCGCAATGCGTCGCTGTAGTGATCTAATATGATAAACCTTAATTTACCTAGCAATTAAAAATATATATTAATATTGAGGTAGGCTAATTAATACGGAGGTAGGCCAAATTGTTATATACTAGTACCAGTCTAATCAATATCTGTGTGCTTGATTCACAAAGATAAGAAAGAGAAAACTGAATTCAAGGGGGTGGGAGCGAATGGACTGTGATTGACAGAGATGAGTTATGGTAACTACTAGACTACAGAGGGTTGTAATTAGTCACGCTATGTTGGTTTAAATAGATTTAACACCTGGTTGTTAAAAAGAATAAATTGATTAATTGTTTTAAAGCAGCAATGTTATTGAGTTTCCCTTGTGTCTCTGTGTTTCTTAATAGAGATTAGACATTAATATGGATTTACAGCACTGACTCTAGGGATGTTCAGTCCAACAATAGACAGAAGCAAGAGACTATATAAATGTAAAGGAAAGCATAAATACCGCAAATGTAAAATGATAGCCCGTTTTAGTTTTTATCTTCTTTTGTTACATTTACGGCAGATAGATTGCTGAGTTATTGTTGTTAATTTGCAGCTTCTGCAGCAAGCAACTTCCTCCAGTAACTTGGGTGCCTTCAGCGGCATTCAGCAAATGGCCGGTAAGTTAAAAATCATTTCATTTTGCTCCTGCTACGTTTTGTCTTCTTCTGCTATTGAATTCTGTACGTCTAATAATCACACGGTCGGAGGGCGGGGGGGAGTTGTGCATTGAACGCGGCAGATGTATTGGCAGGGGACAGCTCGTGGTTCAGCGTCCACAGAATCGCTTCCTCCCCTCTTTCGGAAACTGAAATTAAACTCGGTGCTCCCAGGTTGTGCAAACAGTTTGTCTTGCATTAGTCACCTGCCATTTGTCCAAAGTACCCAACTGCAAATTGCAGGAGAGCTCTTAGTCCCCGCAGCTGTATCCTGGCCTCTGAAAAGTGTCAGGAAAGCACCAGCAGGATTCCACTCTTAATTTCCAGCGAGATTTCTGTGTCCCGAAAAAATCAAATTAATGGCAACCCTCAAACATTTTAATAATAGGTGGTGAGTAAAAATATTCTAACCTTTTTAATGAAACCCACGATTAGAGGCCTACCTTCGGTGTGAGTTTCCAGGCTCCTTTTGTAATCACAGAAAATTAGCTGGGTGCCTTTTTGACTTCAGAACCCTAGTTGACAAAATTACACAACAGAGGCTTTTTATATAAAAGTGTAAGCTTTAGTCTGGAGGAAAAAAAAGAAAGAAAGAACGGGGAAAAAAATCAAAGTGTAAGCGTATTTGAAAGCGGGCTAGTTGGAAGGTTTCTTAGTAATGAGCTGTGTGCCAGTAGTAACTGATGTGTAGTGATTAGCAAAAGGTCGCTCCCACTGTGTGACCTACCATGCTGATACCCTAACTTAACATGATGCTAGAGAAGGCAGCATGTGCAGTAAATCAGAGCGCAGATGCACATTATGCCTGCCGCGAGAAACTGTTAAAAAGCCCTTTTTCTTGTTACAGGAAGGAAAAAAAAAAAAAAAAGGAAGCACAAAACCCCCAAATTGCTACATTAGTTTATTTTAATCATGAACCCACTGCATCAATGAAATACAGCATTGTGCTTGCTTCATCAGCACAAAACAAGGGCTAAAATATTCAGAAGTCTTTATGAACAGCGTTTTTGCATGCTTTTAATCCTAGTCTTTTGCTTCTTCTGGCTCTGCTTTGAATGAATCTTGAAATATTTTAACAAGTATAGCTATACCCCACAGTATAGCTATACCCCACAGGTATTCTTTGTTCAATCGTTATATTATGCCATTATTGCAGTGACATCAGAGGCTAATGTGAACCTGCTGTCTGACAATATAAATTGGCCTACAGATGACAATATCTCTGAATTATTCTCTCTTCCTGAGACCTGCTGGCAGTGCTTGCTGGTTCTATTATGTTACACTTGCAATCTAGCATTTTTTTCATCAAAAAAGTGTATCTTAATATGATAAACAGAATAGAGCTATTCAGTAACAGTTTTACACTTGGCAGTTTTGGAAGTGGCTTTGAGCTCAAAGATTGTATTTAACGTTTTCATATTTGGTTAGGGCTACAAAATGAAAGAATTGAGACACCCAGGAAAAATAATGTGATATCCACTGTGTTGCTTGCACTTTAGAAGTTTTCTGTTGCCCATTTCTCACTGTTAGTGTAGATTCAGCTTGGCCTCTAAGAACGGCATTGAAATTAAGGATTTTAGTCAAGTAATTTTCGGATAGGCTCTCAATCCAATATGTGGTTTATCCTCTGAAAAATCATATGGTCTCGAGGCTAGAAGAAAATCATCTTAAGAAATCATACAGGCATGTCATTTTTACTTGAAGGATGTCCCTTCTTAACTACAAATTAGATTGCTGATGTGCTCATATATTGGATAATGTAATGACTGTGTGCATATCCTGGAACATATATTTTTTATCTTATGTCCATGTTATCAGAGGTGCTCAAGGTTCACTCCTTTCTTTCCCCAAAACATGTAGCCCTTCGACCTTGATGTCCAAGGTCAAATTAGTGATACTAAACTTCTCTCCATGCTACAGCTCTACATGACAGTACAAAAGACTAAGTGCTGTTTCATCGTTAAGACTGAGAGTTCATGTCCTGGCCTCAGAAATGATAAAATTATTCCAGACTTCTCTGCAGTACTATGTTATGCTGTGCATCTAGTAATAAAGATTCGTATGTTAAGTTTTATGAAAGGAATGGAAAAGCACTCGTATGTCTGCAGCAGGATCTCACATTGCCTGAGGAAGCTATCCTTAAATGTTTGTCTTCACAGTTCAGAAAGTAGCATAAAGGCCCTAATTTTTTTAACTTAAGCTGTATACGTTCGTTTTATAAAAATGAGTCTAGTATGTATTTCCGTGTTATGAATGGCTTGCATATTAATATAACATTTCAGGACGAGGAATAAAATCTAGACACAGTTAAGCAAGACACCCTATACGCTCCTTCACGGCAGCTTGCAGCTTCTTTGAGCTACAAAAATGTGTTTGCAGTCAGATATTTGTACCTGTTCTTGTGTTGAATTTAACGGGGAGGGCTAGGCATTCCTCAGCATGAGCAATAACAGAATTTGCAAGCTTGGGTAGCTCTGCATTTAAGAATTTATTCAAACATGTGCAGTGTGTTTGAGGGGTCAAACTTTGATCTCTCAAGTCTTCTCTGCCAGGCCTCTAGTCCTACAAAGCTCTCATGTGCCTGCATCCCACTGAAGTCATGGTTTGCGAAACTGGCATGGGAAATATCGCCACCCTCCTGGCCAGAATTAGGGGCCTTCAGATCTGCAAGTATTTATTTCTACCGCTGAAGCTCGTGATGTCGCTGTACTGAACAGAGAGGACACACCACACACCCGGCTGCACGTGCAAGGAAATACTTACTCTGCAGTCCTCAGTGATGTTATTTCTTAAAGCAAATTTTCTTTGCAAACAGAGCAAAGGCGCTGATGGTCGGTGTGAAGTTTTAAATTCCCTTTCCCTAATATCATGCCTCAGTGTGGCTAAAGTAATTTTTATGTGACAAGAGCAGGGATTCTGTGCTTTTGTTTAGGCATTTTCAGATGAAGAGAAACAGAGTTTGTTTGTTTGTTTGAGAGCTGGGGATCCAATCCAAGGAAAGATGGGGATTTTTTTCAAGAACTCCCTAATGTACCGACATTAACCGCGTAGAACGTCAGCTCCAGAAACGAATGCTGCTCTTGCTGTAGGAGCCCATTGGCACTACTGTATGTTCAGTATCACTTTTGCTCTGTGTTCCTAAACTGTGTGTAAAGTCCAAGCATATGGTGAAACTGGCTTGACTAAAATTTGGGAGATTTTAAAATCTGAGACACCAAAAAGTAGTAGTTTGCCATTTAGGTTTCCAAGCCTTGAGGTTCCACCGTCCACTGACCGGTTTTCTCATTTTTATTGAAAACAGGGATTTTCATGAAATCATTTTACTTCAGGAGCCAAGTGCGATATGTCAAGACTGATAATAAAGTTGGGAGAGTTGGCAGTGCTGCCTTTACTAGTATAATAATCCCGCAGTGCTGGTCACAGGAGCAAACCTTATCCTTGCTGAACTCTGCTTTATTGGTCTTTGCAAAACATGCAAGCGCATACAGTCATCTAGTGCGTATTTTAGAGTGAGTACTTCCTCACTCTTCCTTTCCCTCCACGGATGTCTCCTCATGCTAATTTGAAAGCAGTGTTTTCTCTCGCGTGCCTCTCAAGCCTCCGTGTTTGGCCTGTGTTTTGTCTTTGGGGAAGGCTAATAACGTGGGTGAATTACATTATGTGATTTGATTGTCTTATTTAAAAAGACGATACAAGCTACGTTAAGTGCTAGCAGCCCTTTCAAGCCAAAAGCATTCCTCCTTCATGTATATACAAAATGCATGGAAGGCTTAGTTCAGAGGTGATTAACGTCACTGAATGTTTCTATTGAATCTGGCTGGCACTGGATGGGAGCCTAAAAGCTGCAGTGATTTAGGTCAACCTGCTTATTTAAGAAGAACCTGGAAAGTACTGTACAGGCAGGATAAACAAGAGAGGTTTTGTATTGTATTAGGTTGCTGTAGAAGGTTGCAATGTCCACAATTATTATCATCTCTGAAGATTTTCCTTTGTCCATTTAAATAGTTTAAAATGTTTTGCCAGGAATAAATATTTGCACATTCACATGGCCATTTGCTATACGCCTGACCGTTCAGGACACATAACACGTTCAGTACCAATAACAGGCACAAAGAGGCTCCATTAAAGTCAGCGAATGAGCAGTATATTTTGCTGTTTGAAGTCGCGCAGGAGGAGAATGCGTGCTTTTGGCTTTTTCTGCTGTGGATTTCAGATCCATAAACCCTGTACAGCTGGAGCTTTTAATATTTTTTCCAGTATGTGGTTTTTTTTTCCTGTCCTTTCCAAGCTCCCTCCTAGGTTGGTTGCATGTTGGGTTGATCTTCTGGCCCATTCTGACTCTTGTTCAATCCGTTTCACCCCTCCTCTGTTACCCAAGCCAGATTTCCTCCTGCTGCAGAGTCTGTAGGAACAGATGGGTGAGAGAAACTCTGCAAGATTCTGCTTTCTGAATATTTCCCTCTAATTGTGGGATTGGCTCGTTGGATCTGGAGGGACCGGTTGGAAGCCAGGACCATCTGCACAAAAGCTCTACGCTTCTGCATTGGCCCAAGGATCCTTTGCATCCTCTGACTCTTTGGTGGCTTCGTTCCAGCGGAGCCATGCTGAAAGAGGTTTTCTCCTGCTATGACCTCTTAAGGGATATCGTATTAAAAGTAAAGGTCACTGAGAAACTGTTTCCAGCTCAAGGGAGATAGCTGTTTCTTAAAGATAACTACCAATTTTGAAAATGTTGACCTCAGGGACTGAAAGCACTGAGCTTTTGTAACACTAATTCCATTGAAAGCCCTACTTAATTTAACCCATACAATTAGCATTTTTTTAGATAATAAATTAAAGGGCTCCATTTAGCGTTTGGAGAGGCAGAGTGTGAAATAAGTGAGTCCGTTCTCGGTTCTGCTACCAGGAGAAGGAGAGGCACCTTGAGAGGAAAGCAAACACTCAGCGGTTTGCCAGGCATG